GTGAAATCATATCCACAGTATTTGTCTTTCTCTGACTTATTTTGCTTAGCATAATACTCTCTTGCTCCATTCATGTCACTGCAGATGGCAAGATTCCATTCTTTTTTATGGCTGAGCAATATTCCACTATGTCTATATATATATCACCTCTTCTTTATCCATTCATCAGTCAGTGGACACTTGGCTGACACTTAGGTTTATAATTTGGCTATTGCAGATAATGCTGCTATCTATAAACACTGGGATGCCTGTATCCCTTTGAATTAATGTTTCTGTATTCTTTGGGTAAAAACCCAATAGTGCAATTGCTGGACCGTAGGAGAGTTCTATTTTTAATTTTTTCAGAGTGGCTGTACCAGCTTGCATTCACACCAACACTGCAAGAGGGTTCCTTTTCTGCATCCTCGCCAACATCTGTTTCCAGTGTTAATTTTAGCCATTCCGACAGGTGTGAGGTGATATCTTACTGTAGTTTTGATTTGTATTTCCCTGATGATGAGTGATGTTGGGAATCTTTTCATGTGTGTTAGCCATCTGTATGTCTTCTTTGGAAAAATGTCTACTCATGTCTTCTGCCCATTTCTTAACTGGATTGTTTTTTTAGGTGTTGAGTTTGAAAAGTTCTTTATAAATTTTGGATACTAACCCTATATCAGATATGTCAACTGCAAATATCTTCTCCCATTCCATAGGCTGCCTTTTAGTTTTGTTGATTGTTTCTTTCGCTGTGCAGAAGCTTTTTATTTTGATGTAGTCCCAATAGTTTATTTTTGCTTTTGTTTCCCTTGCCTCAGGAGACATCTCAACTAGAAAAATTTGCTACAGCTGTCAAAGAGGTTACCGCCTGTGTTCTCCTCTAGGATTTTTTTTTTTAAGATTTTATTTATTTATTTGACAGAGAGAGACACAGCGAGAGAGGGAACACAAGCAGGGGGAGTGGGACAGGGAGAAGCAGGCTTCCTGCTGAGCAGGGAGCCCGATGTGGGGCTCGATCCCAGGACCCCGGGATCATGACCTGAGCCGAAGGCAGATGCTTAACGACTGAGCCACCCAGGCGCCCTCTCCTCTAGGATTTTTATGGTTTCAGGTCTCACATTTAGGTCTTTAATCCATTTTGAGGTGGGTTTTTTTGTTTGGTATAAGCCAGTGGTCCAGTTTCACTCTTTTGCATGTAGCTGTCCAGTTTTCCCAACACCATTTGTTCAAGGGACTGTTTTTTTTTTTCCCACTGAATATTCGTTCCTGCTCTGTTGAAGATTAATTCACCACATAGTTGTGGGTTCATTTCTGGGTTTTCTATTCTGTTCCATTGATCTGTCTAGTTTTGTGCCAGTACCATAGTGTTTTGATCACGACAGTTTTGTAATACAGCTTGATGTCTGGAATTGTGATGCCTCCAGCTTTGCTTTGCTTTTTCAAGGTTGCTTTGGCTATTCCAGCAATAGTGTGGTTCCATACAAATTTTAGGATTATTTGTTCTATCTCTGTGAAAAATGCTGGTGGTATTCTGATAGGCATTGCATTAAATGTGTAGATTGCTTTGGGTAGAATAGATATTTTAACAATAGTTGTTTTTCTAATCCATGAGCATGGAATATTTTCCCATTTCTTTGTGTCATCTTCAATTTCTTTTATCAGTGTTTAATAGTTTTCAGAGTATAGGTCTTTCACCTCTTTGGTTAGGTTTATTCCTGGGTATCTTACTGGTTTTGGTGCAACTGTAAATGTGACTGATTCCTTAATTTCTTTCTGCTGCTTCATTATTAGTGTACAGAAATGCAACTTATTTCTGTACATTGATCTTGTATCCTGCAACTTTACTGAATGTATGTATCAGTTCTAGCAGGTTTTGGGGACATGTGTTTTTCACAATATAACGACCACAGTAGCTTATTTACTGGATAAACTCAGTCTGGATATAAAATAAGGGAAACAGAAAGTTGTCACCAATTAAAAACCAAAATCAGGTAAGAAAAACTGATTGTACTCTGACCTACTGAGTTGAGAGTTAAGATTAAGATACAATCACAGAGGACCACCGTTAAGCCACCCTTATTACAGGGTTTTTAGAAAGAGAAAAACTAGTATTCTTTGGACTCAAGAACAGATTTCTAAGGCCAAAGATGTTCCACAAATACCATTCGCAGACAAATCAAGGTATTAACAAGTAAACATTCTTGACTAACCCAGGTCACATGTTTAGTCAGTAATAAACCTGAAACCAGAATTTTCAACACCTTGGGTAAGTCTTTAATTTGAAAATTATGCCATTTCCTATATCTGTTTCCCTTCCCACCAGTTTGGTAACATCTTACAAACCAAAATCATATTGTCTCACCCAGTCAGTGTTTAACTAAGGTTACAAACCGGATTCACAACTCACTCAAGAATTTTCTTCAAATGACAGACCCAGGCTCAGCCTACATTAACTGAATCAGAACTCTTTAAGTATGGGGCCCAGGCTCCTGTAGTTTGACAAAACTCCCAGGTGATTTTAACAAAGGGAACTCAACTCTAACTCAAAACGACTGACTAACAAAGAATTAATGACAACCCCCATTCAGACTGGCGACATCCGAAATCAATGTAATTATAGATAACTAAGGAAGACAAACAACAAAACACCTTATTCATGTAGGAATTCTACAGACTACATCATACACCTTTGGAAGACATGGAAGGTAGGGGAGACTTTCCATTTGTTATAATTATATTTATTTTTATTTACGGTGTACTCCAGATAACACACTTTACACATATTATTTCATCCTCACATCAACCAGCTGGGGTTAGGTATTGTTATTTATCCTTTACAGATAAAGAAGTGGGAATCACTGACCTATACCCTACTACTCACATGTTTACTATTTGTTTACTCAACACTCATTTTGTCTTCATTCATTTTACAATAAGTATGTATTAGTTTTGTAAAATCTTGCTGCAGTCGCTTTAAAGTACACCACACTAGATTTTTCAATAAATAATGTGACAATTAGCTTTTTGGAAAAAATAAAGTCAGATTCCTGCATGACAAACCAAATCCAAAAATAAATTCTGATGGATTCTAGAGGTAATTGTAATAAGTGAAACCATAAAAAGAACAAAAAGAATACATATAATATCATCTCAAAGTAAGTACAGCCACGTCTATAAGAAATCAAAGAAAAACAGAACCTGTAGAAGTTCAACAGATGTGACTACATACGATTCAAAGGCTTCTGTATATTTATTTTTTTAAAAGGTTTAGATTCAATAAAAAGACTGGGGGAAGCATCTGCAGCATAACATTAAGAGAAGTAAAAGCAATACAATGGTCAAAGGAAATAAACAGGAATTACATGCATACCTCGTTTTATTTTGCTCAGTTAATTGCACTTCACAGATACTGTTTTTTACAAGGGGAAGGTTTGTGGCAACCTGAGTCGAACAAGTCTATCTGCCATTTTTCCAACATTTGCTCACTTCATGTGTCTGTCACATTTGTTAATTCTCAAAATATTTCAAACATTTTCATCATTATTGTATTTGTTAGGGTGATCTGTGATCAGTTGATGTTACTGCTATAATTACTCTGGGGCATCACCAAACCGTGCCCAGCTAAGACGGCAAACTTAATAGATAAATGTGGTGTGTGTTCTACTCCACCTATGCTGTTCCCTTGTCTTTCCCTCTCCTCGGGCCTCCCTATTCCGAGACACAATACTGAAATTACGCCAGTTAATAACCCTATGGTGGCCCGTAAGTGTTCAAGTGATAGGAAGAGTCACATGTCTCTCACTTAAAATCAAAAGCCAGGAATGATTAGCTTAGTAAGGAAGGCATGCTGAAAGCCGAGATAGGCCAAAAGCAAGGCCCCTTGTGCCAAATGGCCAAGTTGTAAACGCAAAGAAAAAATTCTTAAAGGAAATTAAAAGTCTTCACACAAATGATAAGAAAGCAAAATAGCCTTATTGCTGATATAGATGGAGCAAGTGGTGTGGATAGATCAAACCAGCCATATAATATTGTTAAACCAAAGCCTAATCCAGAGCAAGGCCCTAATGGTCTTCAATTCTGTGAAGGCTGAGAGAGGCAAGGAAGCTGCAGAAGAAAAGTCTGAAGCTAGCAGAGGCTGGCTCATGAGGTTTAAGGAAATAAGCCATCCCTATAACATCAAAGTGCAAGGTAAAACAGCTAGTGCTGCTGTAGAAGCTGCAGCAAGTTATCCAGAAGATCTAGCTCAGATAGTTAATGAAGGTGGCTAAGCCAAACAACAGATTTTTAATGTAGATGAAATAGCCGCCTATTGAAAGATGTCATCTAGGACTTCCATAACTAGAGAAGTCAATGCCTGCCCTCAAAGCTTCAAAGGACAGACTCTCTTGTTAGGAGCCAATGCAGCTAAGCTGAAGCCAATGCTCAATTATCATTGTGAAAATCCTAGGGCCCTTAAGAACTGTGCTAGATTTATTCTGCCTGTCCTCTATAATTGGAAAAAAGCCTAGATGACAGCACATCTGTTTCCAACACGGTTTACTAAATATTCTAAGCACACTGTTGAGACCTACTGCTCAGAAGAAAAGACTCCTTTCAAAATATTACTGCTCATTGACAATGTACCTGGTCACCCCTGACCAAGAGCCCTGATGGAGATGGATAAGATTCATGTTGTTTTCATGCCTGCTAACACAACATCCATTCTGCAGCCCACAGATCAAGAAGTCATTTCAACTCTCAAGTCATATTATTTTAAAAAATATATATTTCGTGAGGCTATAGCTACCATAGATAGTGATTTCTCTGATGGATCTGGGCAAAGTAAATTGAAAATCTTCTGGAAAGGATTCACCATTCTAGGTGCCATTAAGAACATTTGTGATTCACGGGAAGATGTCAAAATATCAACATGAACAAGTCTGGGAGAATCTAATTGCAATCTTCATGGAGGACTTGGGGGGTTCAAGACTTCAGTGTTCGAAATAACTGCAGATGTAGTGGAAACAGAGAACCAGAATTAGATGTGGGGCCTGACGATGGGAGTGAACTGCTACAATCTTGTGATAAAACGTCAATGGATGAGGAATTGCTTCTTACAGATAAGCAAAGAAAGTAGTTTCTTGAGATAGAAACTACTCCTGGTAAAGATGCTGTGAAGATTGTAGAAATGACAACAAATGGGTTAGAATATTACAGAAACTTAGATGATAAAGTAGTGGCAGGGTTTGAGAGGACTGACTCCAGTTTTGAAAGAAGTTCTACTGTGCATAAAATGCAATCAAACAGCATCACATGCTACAGAGAAATTGTTTATGAAAGAAAAGAGTCAACTGATGTAGCAAACTTCACTGCTGTCTTATTTTAAGAAACCGCCACAACCACCCCAGCCTTTAGGACCACCACCCTGATCCATCAGCAGCTGTCAGCACTGAGGCAAGACCTTCTACAGCAAAAAGACTGACTTGCTGAAAACTCAGATGATAGCATATTTTAGAAATAAAGTCTTTTTTAATTAAGGCATGTACATTTTTTAGACATAATGCCATTGTACACTATTCTAATAGACTACGCTGCAGGGTAAACATAACCTTTATATGCACAGGGAAACAAAAAAAATTCATCTGACTTGCTTTATTGCGGTATTTACTTTACTGCAGTGATCTGGAACCAAACCTGCAATGTCTCTGAGGTGTGCCAGTATACAAAAAGAAGAGGCCCAAATAATAAATAGTTTTAAATGATTAATTATCCTGGAAATCACAGAAACGTACATATAAACAAGATACAATGACATTTTCCACGTATAGATCAGCAAAGAATTGTAAAATTATAATATCTGGTGCTAACCAGGATCAAGGATAACATCTCCACACTCTGCCGCTACGACTGAAGATTGGCACACATTCTGGAACGCAATTTGGCAGTAAGTGATAAATGCCCTGCAACTGTGCCCCCAACTCTAACCCTACAATTCCACTTCCAGAAATTATTATTAGGTAAGAATCACAGTGAGAAAAAGGATTTAACGTCAAGAATATTCACACAACAACATTACAAAGTATACCACTTAACAAGGTACTGTACATCCCCGCACTACACTGGCAGCTACACACTGTGGCAGGTACTCTTGCTTGTATCAGTTGGAAGGTAAACAGAAAAGTAATTTGCCATTTATTACAGAAGTCTTTAAAATGTTCAGCAATTTCACTTTCTAGGAATGTATTCCGTGTGAACACAGCATTCTTTTTAAAAGCATAAAGAAAATTTTAAATTAAATGTTCAAAATCAGAAGCATGGTTAAGTATAAAGTATGATAAAAATCCATGTCATTAAAATGACTATCAAGCTGTCAATAAGCTTTTCAATCATTTTATATAAAAATGGAAAATGTTCACAATATAATGCAAAGTAGAAAAATACAGATTCCACTATAGTGGAGGAAGGGGGAAGAAAAAGAGGTTTTCAAAAATAAGGTTTTCAGCTGGATTTTGCTAAAGTATCTTCCTGGAGCAGTCACCTTGATGTGCAAGTGCCTAGGATGTAAACTAATTTCTCTAAGGTTTCCATGTCTCGAGAAAACATGGTTTTTATTTTACACTATGAATAAGACAGAGAACTGAAGTAAAAGTGTCCTAAGTCATACATAAATCAGCTTTATGACTCAGGCATCCAACTGCAACCTTCATGGGTGAATTCAAATTGAGACTCCAGTTTTGCTGTCCCTCTCTCATTACCGTCTGATTCATCAGGTCCCCTAACTTCACAATTTCTCGTCCTTCTTGACTCCTTATCCTTTTTTAAATCATAAATTAAAGGACTGAACTAAATGACCTCAAAGATCCTTTTAGATTCTTGGAACCCACTGATTTACAACCACCTGGCACACAGAAAGCACATACATACCTATTTTACTGGGGGGTAAAATACTATCCACATGTCAACTTATGGCAGCAAGGCTCTTCCCGAGACCTTTTGTTTCATCTTCAAGATCTTAAGCATAATGCTTTCTTTGAAGGTCCCCCCTTAATTTTCTACTGAATCCATTAATAACAGGGTCCTCATCAAATACTTTCTAAGCCACGGTGCTTTTATATTTTACAGCTCCACTTCAGAGATAAAGAACTCATGCTGGGAAGAGTAAGGCTGGAAAAAACTTCAGGATACAAAAAGATTTTATCAGTCTGGGATATCCAAGCAGATGAAATTTAATAGAGATAAAGGCAAAGTTCAGCACTAGATCCCAAAACTACATGGAAATGATGTGGTTTAACAGTAGCATATACATACATACAGAGTTGTGATTTCAGTTGACTGTAACTTCAGGTAATCAAGAATATAGGGCTGCTTAGGGAAAGACAGACCTTATCATCTTGCTTTTCTGCTTTTTTTTTAAAACCTAGTGTCAAAATGGAAAGGAGTAAAGGTTACTCTCTTCTTTGTAAGGTGACACTGCATGCTGACTATTATAAGCTGTGCTGAGTCCACTTTAAGAGGGGCATTAACAAAGTAAATGGAGGGCAGAGGACTAAGAAGCTGATGAGGGCATTTGAAACTATCAAATAAGAAAATCTGAAGGAAATGGGACTATTTAGCCTGTGGAACAGAAGACCTAGGAAAAGGAGAGCAATCTTAATAACTACAGAAGCCCTCAAAGTGAAGTAAATGAGTGAAGTCAGCAGGTAGAGACTTCAGCAAAATGGAGAGTATATTCACCATCTAAGGGAGACTACTACTGTTAGAAATGTGAGCTCTGTATCACTGAATCCTCTAATTTGTTTCTCAAAAAAAGCCAGAAAGAAATTTTTATGTGAAATCTCCCCATTTCTAAAAGTCCACTCCTAATTTAAGTTTTTGCATAAGCTGGGCAGCCAAATGATACGTGTGCAGTTCATGTTCCTATGGCTCCCTCCCTAGGATTTTACTGGGTCATTTTGATGCATGTGAGCAAAATCCCACACTAAACATTATGGCCTGAGTGTAGAGGAAGTAAATGTGCGCTAAAGAGAGACTCCATATTCCTCTTACACACTCAAGATTACAAAATGCTTAATACTGCCTCTCTTCCACCTAGTAACATCACCAAAGAGATGTGCAAAATTCCCAATGTACAAGGAGTGTGGGACTGGCTCAGGCAGGAAAAGATCATGCTTATAGGTGAACCTACCTCTGTCCCTCCTAAGTTCTCAAAGTCGCATGTGTCTGAGCGCCAGTATTTTCATGGAACATACATATGCGTGAAAAATCCTCTTTCCTCTTAGTTATCCTATCATTACAGGTTTTCAAAAGGGTTACCGAAAATTAAGAGGGAATAAAAATAAAATGGAAATAAATATGCTAACAGTTTTCTGATATAAACTTAATATCCAGCAGAAATAAGTGCACAGTTTTAGGACTTTATGAAAGATTCATACTCCCTGCCTCACTCTGAAGTTATCACATGCAAAGTCACTCAAATCTCTACCAACAGTAGATCAGGGGGATCTTCATTTTCCTAATACCTGACTCTTTCTATTTCAGGCGCTATTTCCAACCCTCCACCAGGGCATTATTTGCCAGTCTCACCTCAGATAGGGACCACACACACACACACACACACACACACACACAGCCCTGCCACCACCTCACTCCTGCACCATCCCTCAATGACTTTTCACTCAACAGATAGCCTAGTGCCCAGAGGGAAAGGGCATGTCCTTATCTAATCCCCACATTCTTCTGACGGCTTCCAACCATCCTTTGAACCTTCCACTGTGTCCTAGAAGTCCCCTACTCAGGCTTAATCCTTACCTATTTCTCTCTAACCTGTTCATTTAGTCTTTTCACTCATAGGTTAAAACTCTGAGGCCTAATCATTAAGAGATTCAAACTACACGCCAAACATTTAATGCCTGTGTTTTCCCTAGAAAATGGAGACAAATATGAAGGAATGAAGACACACTCTTGACAATCATTTGGTTAGGAGGCATGCCCCCTGAGAGCACTGACCATACCTTAGGTATTAAATAAATGTTTCAAGATTCCAACGATCCACAATTCTAATTCTCCTCTAGAAAGCATTTTCGCGAGTTTCCCACATACTTATGAGTACTTTTGATTCCTCAGGCTCCCCCAGAGGTGGAAGATCCTGAAATTCCCACAGGATAAGGTATTTTTAACTCACCAAATTAGAGTTTTAGATGACAGCCTTTCCTTCATCAGGAAATATTTAAAAGTCCCCCTGCTAAATAAGTTGTTGAGAATGCTTAGCTTCACTCAAGACTCTCAAGGCCCTACAGGTTACTATCCCGGGCACTCTGGATATACCGTATAATAACTGTAGATAGAATGCAAGACTAATCTTGAGCAAAACGGGAAAATGCAGATAGTCTTCATGACCGCAACACACAAAGATCTTTTTAAAACGAAAGAAAACATGGGGAGCCCAGCCTTCAAAACTGAAGCTACCTAATGAGAGAGAAAAGAGGACAAAGTGAGGGGAAGAACTGCTTAAGACACCTCTTAAGTAATCACATATGGGTAAAAAAATGGATATATGTTGTTCTGCATTTCCTCCTCCTCCTCCATAGGAGCTGAACTAGGAGGACTTGACGAAGCCCTTAGAATTTTTTAAAAGGAAAGAAAAGATGTCCAGATCCACCAAATTCAAGTCTTTTGAGAGCTACAGATACACAAAGTGGAACTGAACCACTGGCTCAATGTGGAAAAGAGATAAACACACTATCTGCAGTCTGGCAGCCCTGCCTGATCTTCAAAGGGCTCGGGATTTGTCCTCTCCCCTGCAGCGCGCGGGTCTGGTCACCCGGCTAAGATTTCAGTAGTGTAGACAAGCACTCCGCAACCCCTCTTCTGTCCAGACAGCACTTAGGCCCATCGCTACAGAGCTGGACCTGTGCTCCAAGAGTCCCAGATGCAGAGAACAGTGGCACCTGGACCCTCGGACAGGAAGTGGCTATTCTGACTGCGGGCTTATGATCAAAGGAGGTGAACCCCGTGAAAAGCACCAAAGGAGGAGCAGCTGCAGGCAACTGTGTCTGAACGCAGCGCAAAGCAGACGGTGGGAGTGTGTGCACGGGGAACATGGGAGGGGGCAGACCTGGGCAGCCCCTTCGTCGACAGATG